CATTTTCCATGATAAATAAATGAAAAAATGTTTAAAGAAAACATCCAACGTAGAAAAATACTTTTTTACATTTTATTTTTCGCCCGTTTTTTAACATTATCACCTTCTTATAATCGTTTAAGAAAGAAGTTAACTCACCTTTACAAATGGAAGTTTTATCATTTAGTTTTCACCGCGCTTATGTGTTATTTATATTATTTAGCTTTCAAAATTCCAAGTCTACCAAAAAAACCATATCTCGATTACTTTTTAGACGTAACCAGCACCTTTATAATTCGTTTAATGAATTTGATAACAATGTTGGGTTTGATTTTTACCGCGACGAGAAACTGGGAAGAAATGTTAACGTACATCGTTGAAATTGAAGAGGATTTGATGGATTATTCAAAGTTTTTGGGTAAAACTTTAACGAAACGAACTATTTTTTGGTATTATTTTAAAAAGGTGGTTTTATGCGTTCTTATTTTCATTGGAGAAGCGGTTATTGCCAGGGAAAATTACGCTCGATGGTTTGTTTTAAGAGGAATTGCTTTATTTGAGGCTAATCTTTTAATGATTATAATCGATGATGTTGCTATGATTATTAAGGCCGATTTTGATTTGTTAAATCAAGTTTTAATTCATGATTACATCAAAAATAATAAAATCGAAAATAAAGAAAATAATTTTCCAATTGAGATTAATAAAGTAGCAAAAATTTATATTAAGTTATATAAAACGATGGACATTTTTAACGAGTTATTCGGTTGGGAGGTTGTTTTATTATACATTTTAACAGTTATGAGTTCTTTACCTGCTTTAGAAAAAATCATTGGTTTTGAATTTGGTGTAAAAGTAATTGGGGATATGATTTTAGCTTTTTGGAGGATTGTAAGTATTACTTTACGTTTTTTATTATCCCAATCACCTCTCTCATCCATCTTTTTCCCTCAACTCACTACATCTTCTCAACACATGTTCTAGCCTCTCTCACCTCCTCAATTGGACCGCGTTATACATCAATTCAGGATCTAACAACGGGATCTCTCTAAATATAGAATAGAGAGGCTCGAACTATTGAAAATTGTTTGGTGCCTATCAATTTTTATCACAGAACACTGATGACAGCCATCACAAGCACAGAATCCGTTTGGTCAGTCGTTTTACGATTACACAGGGTGTTTCTGTAAGTCGTGGTATAAATTTAATCACAAATACCAGAGTCAAAATGATGTTTCGTGTAAACATTTTTTAAGAAAATTATTGATTTTGTACTTTTCAACTTTTAATCAATGTGAAATGACCCAAAAAACACGTTAAAAATAAAAAGAAACTGCTGAAAAGTGACGAACACTAGATTAACTTCAGTTATAAAACTTCTATTATACTATAACTAACTTCAGATTTAAAATGTCAACCTCAATTTTGACATATTTGTAATCTTCATTAAAAATCCTTTAAAATAAGTACAAACACGACATATTTATCTTCAATATTAATGAAGTTATGGTCAACTTCCGGTTTGGAATGTCAACGTCAATTTTGACATATTTGTAATCGTCGTGAAAAATCCTTTAAAATGAGTCCAAACATGATACGTTTAATTCCAATATTTCTCGAGATATAAGCAACTTCCGATTTGAAATGTCAATGTCATTTTGACATATTCTTAATTTTTATAAAATGTTTTAATATTTGTCACAAAAACAAAAATATAATAAAAAGAAAACAAAAATTAAGGTTGGTATTAATATTTAAAAATTAAATTGCTATCTTCATTGTTGCTAACTTCCGGTTTAATGTTTTTTATTCAAATTTTTTTATTTTTTGAGATAAGTGCGTCATCTTCGAACTTATTTTAAAGGTTTTCTTAATAAAGAATACATCATGAAAGATCACCATGAAGTTGTCCATTTGTCTATTATATGATAACTAACTTCAGGTTTAAAATGTCAACCTCAATTTTGACATATTTGTAATCTGCATTAAAAATCCTTTAAAATGAGTACAAACACGACATATTTATCTTCAATATTAATGAAGTTATGGTCAACTTCCGGTTTGGAATGTCAACGTCAATTTTGACATATTTGTAATCGTCGTGAAAAATCCTTTAAAATGAGTCCAAACATGATACGTTTAATTCCAATATTACTCGAGATATAAGCAACTTCCGATTTGAAATGTCAATGTCATTTTGACATATTCTTAATTTTTATAAAATGTTTTAATATTTGTCACAAAAACAAAAATATAATAAAAAGAAAACAAAAATTAAGGTTGGTATTAATATTTAAAAATTAAATTGCTATCTTCATTGTTGCTAACTTCGGGTTTAATGTTTTTTATTATAACTTTTTTATTTTTTGAGATAAGTGCGTCATCTTTGAACTCATTTTAAAGGTTTTCTTAATAAAGAATACATTATGAAAGAACACCATGAAGTTGTCCATTTGTTTATTATATGATAACTAACCTCAGCTTTCAAATGTCAACCTCAATTTTGACATATTTGTAATCTTCATTAAAAATCCTTTAAAATGAGTACAAACACGACATATTTATCTTCAATATTAATGAAGTTATGGTCAACTTCCGGTTAAGAATGTCAACGTCAATTTTGACATATTTGTAATCGTCGTGAAAAATCCTTTAAAATGAGTCCAAACATGATACGTTTAATTCCAATATTACTCGAGATATAAGCAACTTCCGGTTTGAAATGTCAATGTCATTTTGACATATTCTTAATTTTTTATAAAATGTTTAATATTTCTCACAAAAACAAAGATATAACAAAAAAAAAAAAATAAAAAATTAAGGTTGGTATTAATATTTAAAAATTAAATTGCTATCTTCATTGTTGCTAACTTCGGGTTTAATGTTTTTTATTCTAACTTTTTTGTTTTTTGAGATAAGTGCGTCATCTTTGGACTCATTTTAAAGGTTTTTTAATGAAGATGACAAATATGTCAAAATTGACGTTGACGTTTCAAACCGGAAGTGATTGTATTTCCATTAATATTAAAGTTAAATATGTCGAGTTTGGACTCATTTTAAAGGATTTTTTATGAAGTTGACAAATATGACAAAATTAAAAGTTGAAAGTTCGAACTTTTTGGTTTTTTGAGATAAATGCGTCAAGTTTGGACTCACTTTAAAGATTATTTTATGAATATTACGAATATAATAATAAAATTAAAGCAGATATTGACAACTGAAAGTTTTTTTCACGACTAAACCTGAATGTTTCTAGTTCTCGTTCTAGTTTTAGTTCAATAAAAAAATACAATATAGTAATACCTTATGCTAACTAGTGAGTTAAAACAAATAAATTTTAGGTCTTTCGGTATTCAGCATTTTTTCTAAGATAAGTTTTACACCTTTACCTACCAAACAGCATGAAAATCTCTAAAAGCGTTAAAATTTCGCTTAGTCAAGTGATGTATAACGCGATCCAATTGATTGTAAATATTAATAAAAATTTATTACAATTTATTTTTGTTTCTTTTTTAGACAAATTGTATGTTTGTAACAAAAACGGGTCATCACATAATGAAAAAAGGTGAAAGATTTGGCACATTAATCTTTACAATATCAAATAAACTATCGAGATCATCAGAATACGAATTAATTAGGAAAGATGTACGGTTTTTAAGGGAAATGTACAGCGAATTTAAACCGGAATTATCAGCGGCCGCCGTTTTTTCAATTGATTATTCGGTTTATTACGCTTTATTCACGTTGATTATGTCTTATTTGGCAATTTTAATGCAATTTAAATATCCGAATAATTAATTTTTGTTGGAATAAAACAAATTGGAGATTCCAAAGATCATTTTATTATCATTATTGCATATTGCGCGTAGACAGAAAAAAGTTGTCAAATTAGTTACAAAGAAACGATCGTTTAAGACACGTAGTTATTTAAACAATGATCGTTTTCTTTTTATATTTGTTCGTTATCGTTATTATTATTATAAAAAATACACAAGGTTCGACATACAAGTCTCCCGCAATCACATATACAAGTAAATATACAAAAACATGCTTAGGAGACAATCACATACTTTTGGTAACTTTTCGACACAGTGATATGTACTCAAAAAATTTATAAATTAATTTTTATTTATTTTAATTTACATAATTAATTATACACTTTTTTTTTTAATTCCCCCGTTTCAATTTAATTTTTTTACACAATATCAAATTCGTTTGGTTTTTTTTTTTTAATAATAATAATAATCTACTATTTACAATTATCTCGTTTATTGTATCAATTTTTTATTCATATAAAAAACAAATTCGTAATAAAATAGATGTTTTTTTTATTCAGCATCTTATTTTTTTAATTTTTCGTTTTCAAAAATCTTTTTTTTATATTTCAATTCACAATAAAGTTTTAAAACGTGATAATCTTTATTTTGCTCTTAAATGAAAAATAGTTTTATATTAAAAATAAAAATCGACGATCTACAAGGTACAAGATAAAAATTTAAGGCTTCGCATCCTCTCGGTATCACCGGATTCTTGTTATTACATTAATGTATATCATATTTTTTAATTCAAATACCTGTTTCTTTTTTTTTTTTTTGTTTAACCGACTTGAAAAACAATTACCTACAGCTTTACAATTATGTATAAATGTATATACACACGTTGTTGTTGTTTTTGTTGTTGCTACATCATTTTTATCTTTGTATTTTTTTATTTTTCTTAAATATCCTTAATTATTTTTCCCCCTAACAATCAGATTTATTATTTGGTGGCTTCGTTTTTCTCCTCTCAACCTCCCCGCTATCTGTATCAGAAGATTCATCGGCATCGCTCGCAGGTAAAATATTGTAGTTACAAGTCACCTTTGGTTTTTTTATTGAAATCCTGCTATATTCATTCGAAGGTACATTATCATTTCCTCTCTACAAAAAAAAAACAACTTAATAATCGTTAAAAACAATCTTAATAACCCCACCTGTAAAACCAACATAACTACAATCAAAACTATACACAAACAAATAAATATCGTCGTCCCAATAATAAAGACAAACGGATGTATCACTTGAAGCGTCGAAGACACGGGCTCCGACGACACTAAATACGCCTCAACGCTCACCGCATCATCACTTTTACGACTCGCCATTTGAACATTACAACCTACAAAATTTGGCATTATTAAAAATTAATTATAAAAATTTGAGGAAAAATTCAAGAATCATCATGCTTGGCTTAAAAATCGACCATTTCAATTTGATAAACTTAAAAGTAATGTTATTTTCACTAAACTATATCTCGTGTAATTATCATTTGTATGCCGACGACCTGCAGATATATATACTACTACTGTTGCTGAATTTCCGGCAGCTATTGTGCGACTTAATAACGATCTATCTAACGTCTTGAACTGGTCTCGGAGATACGGACTTAAGTTGAACTCAGTTAAAACGCAAGCTATTGTGTTTGGAACTCGTCAATTACTTGGTAAGATTAATCCATCTGCCTGCAGTGATCTGATGCTGGATGGTAATGTCATACGGTTTTCTAACACAGTTAAAAATCTTGGAGTCCTTATGGATTCTGCACTGTCTTGGAAACCGCAAATTCAACATGTTTGCAGAAAAGTCTATGCTTGCTTCCACTCTTTAAAAAGACTTCGCTGCTCTCTTCCTCCTGTGGTGCGTCGTAATCTTTGTTACTCTCTTATATTTCCTCACTTCGACTATGCGGACGCGGTTTATCCCGATCTCTCGGTGACTCTTCTGAGTAAATTGCAGCGGCTACAAAATAATTGTATCCGGTTCATATTTGACCTAAATAGATTTGAGCATGTAACGCCGTATCGCAATTACATTCAGATGTTAACCTGTGAGAGACGTAGATCCTTTCGTTTATTAACCATTTTATTTAAAATCCTTCATAACTGCACCCCAAAGTACTTATCAGATAGGTTCCAGCAATTATCAACTCATGAGCTTGCTACTCGTTCACGTTCTGATACTATTCTTACATTTCCCGTTCATAGCACTGAAATTTATCATAGATCATTTACAGTACAGTCGATTGCGCTGTGGAATGGACTGCCTTCTGAAATTCGTAATATTTCTAGAATTACTAATTTTAGACATGTTTTAAAGAGCCACTTGCTTGCCCTTCAACTGGCTGTTTCCTGATTCTTTGTTCTTTGTCTTTCTCTTTTTTTCCTCTCTTCAACTGCTCTCACTTGTTGGCAACTGATATCCGGCAGATTCTTTTAGTTTCTTTTAGTCGCTCTCTATCTCTCTTTTTGTGTCTTTTCTTTATTTTTCTCTTTGTTTTTCTTTTCTTGCTTAATCTTATTTGGTGATGTTAATAATATCTAATTATCACTACTTGCCATATTCAGCAAATACTATTTTTATTTTTGTTTGTTCTGTTGGGTCATTTGGCAGAGATCGCTTGTGCGATAAAATGATCCATTTGCTGATACTGTTTAAGTTAAGTGTATCTTATGTAATTTTGTATTTTTGTCTGTGGCAATAAATGATAAATAAAAATAAATAAATAAACTAAGTGAGATTACAACGTATATTTTCGGATGAAATATCTTTGATTTTCTTAGACTTTCGATGCATAACGACTCTATGTTAATACTAGAACTAACACAAGACCGAAAACTAGAATCATTCGGGTTTAGCCGCACGTCTCTCAAGACGGCTAAACCCGAATGATTCTAGTTTTAGGTCTTGTGTTAGTTCTAGTGATAGTGCTAAGTAGCGCTAGTTGGCGTTAGATATCACTATGTTGCATATTTTTATTGAATTAAAACTAGAACTAACACTAGACCTAGAACTAGAATCGTTCGAAACTTGCACTGTCATTAGAATTAACACAAGACCTAGAACTAGAAATATTCGGGTTTAGCCGTCTTGAGAGAGGTGCGGCTAAACCCGAATGATTCTAGTTGTAGGTCTAGTATTAATTCTAATATTGCACTAAAACTATCATTAGAACTAACACAAGACCTAGAACTAGAATCATTCGGGTTTAGCCGTCTTAAGAGACGTGCGGCTAAACCCGAATGATTCTAGTTCTAGGTCTAGTGTTAGTTCTAGTTTTGCACTAGCACTATCACTAGAACTAACACAAGACCTAGAGACATTCGGATTTAGCCGTCTTGACAGACGTGTGGCTAAACCCGAATGTTTCTAGTTCTAGGTCTAGTGTTAGTTCTAGCTTTGCACTAGCACTATCATTAGAACTTTACTAACACAAGACCTAGAACTAGAATCATTCGGGTTTAGCCGTCTTAAGAGACGTGCGGCTAAACCCGAATGATTCTAGGTCTAGTGTTAGTTCTAGTATTGCACTAACACTATTATTAGAACTTTACTAACACAATACCTAGAACTAAAATCATTCGGGTTTAGCCGTGTTGAGAGACTTGCGGCTAAACCTGAATGTTTATAGTTCTAGGTCTAGTGTTAGTTCTAGTGCCAGTGCTAGGTAGCGTTAATTAGCATTAAATATCACTGTGTAGCATATTTTTATTGAATTAAAACTAGAACTAACACTAGAACTAGAAATATTCGGGTTTAGCCGTGCGCCTAAAAATAATTTTGATGTTTCTTCAAAGAGTTTCGACTCACGGCTAAGAAAAAAACGTTCAGGCGTTAATGTCAACGTAAATTTTATTATCATATTCGTAATCTTTATAAAATAACCTTTAAAATGAGTCCAAACATGACGGACTTATCTCAAAAAACAAAAAAGTTAGAATAAAAAACATTAAACCCGAAGTTAGCAACAAAAAAGATAGCAATTTAATTTTTAAATATTAATACCAACCTTAATTTTTGATTTTTTTTTAAATATATTTTTGTTTTTGTGACAAATTAAAATATTTTATAAAAATTAAGAATATGTCAAAATGACATTGACATTTCAAATCGGAAGTTGCTTATATCTCGAGTAATATTGGAATTAAACGTATCATGTTTGGACTCATTTTAAAGGATTTTTCACGACGATTACAAATATGTCAAAATTGACGTTGACATTCCAAACCGGAAGTTGACCATAACTTCATTAATATTGAAGATAAATATGTCGTGTTTGTACTTGTTTTAAAGGATTTTTAATGCAGATTACAAATATGTCAAAATTGAGGTTGACATTTTAAACCTGAAGTTAGTTATTATATAATAGACAAATGGACAACTTCATGGTGTTCTTTCATGATGTATTCTTTATTAAAAAACCTTTAAAATGAGTCCAAACATCTTTAAAATTATCTTAAAAAACAAATTCGCACTTATATTTCGAGTAATATTGTTTTTAAATATTAATACCAACCTTAATTTCTGATTTTTTTAATATATTTTTGTTCTTCTGACGAATTTTGACATTTTATAAAAATTAAGAATATATCAAAATGACATTGACATTTCAAACCGGAAGTTGCTTATATCTCGAGTAATATTGGAATTAAACATATCATGTTTGGACTGATTTAAAAAGATTTTTTCACGACGATTACAAATATGTCAAATTTAACGTTGACATTCCTAACCAGAAGTTGACCATAACTTCATTAATATTGAAAATAAATATGTCGTGTTTGTACTCATTTTAAAGGATTTTTAATGAAGATTAATACATTCCAATAATATACAACCAATCAGAGTAACGATCGTTTAAAATTTCGACCAATAACGTGATTTTTTAAGTGGATAAAAGGTAGCTAGATTTTTCAACTGAATAAATCACGTGATATTTTTTTTATAACTGATATAAACACGACTACCATAATATTATATACTTTTGTTTACCTGTCACATTTTTGACAAGTGTAATTAAGTCAAAAATAGTTAAAAATTGTCAATAAATTGTGCAATTGTCATGTATTAATCTTCCTAAAATACACTCGAGCTTAATTTTAAATCAGGATAATTTTATTTTTAATTCACTCAAGTTTTGTTATCCTTTGGAAATAACTCTCATTCAAAATTATTTAAAATTATTTCCAAGCTCTTGTGTATTTACCCCCGATTAAAAATATGTCAAAATTAAGGTTGGCATTTTAAACCTGAAGTTAATTATCATATAATAGACAAATGGACAACTTCATGGTGTTCTTTCATGATGTATTCTTTATTAAAAACACCTTTTATGATGCATTTATATCAAAAAACAAATAAGAGAATAGAAAACATTAACCTTGAATTTTTTTAGTTCTAGGTTCTAGTTTTGCACTATCACTAGAACTAACAGAAGACCTAATACTAGAATCATTCAAATATTAGTTCTAGTGACAGTGCTAGGTAGCGTTAGTTAGCATTAGATATTAAAGTCCCTAGATTATCAAAGTACTAATATGTCAAAATTTGACGTTGACATTCCTAATCGGAAGTTGACCATAACTTCATTAATATTGAAGATAAATATGTCGTGTTTGTACTCATTTTAAAGGATTTTTAATGAAGATTACAAATATGTCAAAATTGAGGTTGACATTTTAAA